TAGACCAATGGAACAGAACAGAGAGCCCAGAAATCACCCCAACCCTCTACAGTCAATTAATATTCGACAAAGGGGGCAGTAACATAAAATGGAGTAAAGATAGCCTCTTCAGCAAATGGTGTTGGGAGAACTGGACAGCTACATGCAAAAAAATGAAACTTGAGCACCAACTTACACCATACACCAAAATAAATTCAAGGTGGATAAAAGACTTAAATATAAGCCATGACACCATTAAAGTCCTAGAGGAGAACATTGGCAAGAAAATCTCAGATATTCCACGCAGCAACATTTTTACGGATATGTCCCCTAGAGCAAGGAATATAAAGGAAAGAATAAACAAATGGGATCTCATCAAAATTAAAAGCTTCTGCGTGGCTAAAGAAAACAGTATTAAATTAAAAAGACAACCAACTGTATGGGAAAACATATTTGCCAATGATACCTCAGACAAAGGTTTAATCTCCAAAATATACAAAGAACTTACACGACTCCACTCTAGGAAGACATCGAACCCAATTACAAAATGGGAAAAGGACTTGAACAGACACTTCTCTAAAGAGGACATACAGAATATCCAGAGACACATGAAGAGATGCTCAATATCGTTAGCTATCAGAGAGATGCAAATTAAAACCACAATGAGATACCACTTTACACCAGTCAGGATGGCTATAATAGACAAAGCAACAAACAACAAATGTTGGAGAGGTTGTGGGGAAAAGGGGACCTTAGTTCACTGTTGGTGGGATTGCAGACTGGTACAACCATTATGGAAAACAGTATGGAATTTTCTCAGAAAAATAAAAATTGACCTGCCTTTTGACCCAGCAATTCCACTGCTAGGATTATACCCCAAGAATCCTAAAACATCAATTTCAAAGAACCTATGCACCACAATGTTCATAGCAGCACAATTTACAATAGCCAAGAGTTGGAAGCAACCTAGGTGCCCATCAGTAAATGAATGGATCCAAAAATTGTGGTACATATACACCATGGAATTCTATGCAGCAGAGAGAAAGAAGGAGCTACTACCTTTTGCAACAACATGGATGGAACTGGAAAGCATTATGCTGAGTGAAATAGGCCAGGCATTGAAGGACAAATACCATATGATCTCACCTTTGACAGGAAGCTAAAGAATAAAACAAACAAGCAAACAGAATAAAAACAAAGACGCTGAAATAGAGAACAAGTGGGCAGCGACCAGAGGGGAGAGGGAAGGGAACTTAAGGGGAAAAAGGGGGAGGGATTTTGAGGAACAAGTATGGAAGACACAGAGATGAGGACTGGGGGGGGGGAATGGGAGGGAGGGGGGAGACCAGGCCGGGGGGTGGGGTGGGATGGGAGAAATAGATAAAAAAAAATGTACTTGAAAAGTAACTAAATAAAATTTAATATTAAAAAAAAAAAACCTCCCAACACACAAAACCCCTGGACTGGATAGTTTCACAGAAGAAGTATACAAATCATTTAAGAAAGAGCTAACCTCTATCCTTCATAGACTACTCCAAAAAATCCAAGAAGAAGGAAGACTCCAAACTCTTTTTATAAAGCCAGCGTCATCCTACACCCCAAACTAGATAAAGACATAACAATAAAAGAATACTATAGGCCAATATCACTGATGAACATAGACACTAAAATTCTCAACAAAATATTGACAAACCACATTCAGCAATAATTAAAAAGATCATCCATCATGATCAAGCAGCATTTATTGCGGGGATGCAAGAATGGTGTAACATTTGCAAATCAATAAATCTAATATATTACATAAATAAAAGGAAACACAAAATCACATAATCATATCAACAGATGCAGAAAAGCATTTGATAAGGCACGGCACCGATTTATGATAAAAACACTTAGCAAAGTGGGAATAGATGGAACATTTGTCGACATAATAAAGGCCAAATACAAGAAACCTGCAGCTGCCAATACTTAGTGGGCAACAAAGCTTTCCCACTAAGAACAAGAACAAGACAAAGATATCCACTTTCACCACTCCTATTCACCATAGTATTGGAAGTTCTAGCCACAGCAACCAGACAAGAAAAAGAAATAAAAGGAAAGGAGAAAGCAAAACTATCATTATTTGCAGATGCCATGATAGTGTACATAAAAAATCCTATAGATGCTACCAAAAAACTACTCAACCTAATAAGTGAATTTGGCAAAACGGTGGGGCACAAAGTCAATATTCAGAAATCAAAGGCATTTTTGTATACCAACAATGAAATATCAGAAACAGAAATCAGAAAAAAAACATTTAATATAGTAACAAGAAAAATAAAGTACCTTGGAATAACCTAACCAAGGAGGTAAAAGATAGGTACTCAGAAAACTATACAACACTGAGAAAGAAATTAAGAAAGACAGAAACAATGGAAACACATACCATGTTCATGGATTGAAAGAATTAACATTTTGATGTTAATATCATAATTTCCATATTACCCAAAGCAATTTATAGACTCAATGGAATATCTATTAAAGTACCAATGGCATATTTTATAATATAGAACAAACACTAAAAATTTATAAGGAACCATAAATGACCCCAAATAGCTACAGCAATTTTGAAAAAGAAGAGCAAAGTAGGAGAAATCATAGTACCTGATATCAAAATGTATTACAAGGCCACTGTAGTCAAAACAGCCTGGTACTAGCATAAGAACAGAAACACAGACCAATGGAACAAATAGAGAGCCCAGAAATAAACCCACATTTCTATGGTTAATTAATATTTGACAAAGAGGGCAGAAGCATAAAATGGAATAAAAATAGCCTTTTCAACAATGGTGTTGGGAGAGCTGGACAGCTATATGCAAAAAGGAAAAAAAAAGAAAGAAAGAAAGAAAGAAAGAAAGAAAGAAAGAAAGAAAGAAAGAAAGAAAGAAAGAAAGAAAGAAAGAAAGAAAGAAAGAAAGAAAGAAGGAAGGAAGGAAGGAAGGAAGGAAGGAAGGAAAGAAAGAAAGAAAGAAAGGAAGGAAAAAAGGAAGAAAGAAAAAGAAACTTGATCACCAACTTACACCATATGCAAAAATAAATTCAAGGTGGATAAATGACTTAAATATAGGTCATGACACCATAAAAGTCCTAGAGGAGAACATAGTCAGGAAAATCTCAGATATTCTTTGCAGCAATATACTCACTGAGATGTCCCCTAGAGCAAGGGACATAAAGAAAAGAATAAACAAATGGGATCCCATCTATTAAAAGCTTTTGCACGACTAAAGAAAATAGCATTAAAATGAAAAGAGAACCAACCATATGGGAAAATACATTTGTCAATGATAACTCAGACAAGGGTTTAATCTCTAAAATATATAAACAACTCACACAACTCCACTCTAAGAAGACAAGCAACCCAATTAAAAAGTGGACAAAGGACTTAAACAGACACCTCTCCAAGGAAGGGTCATACAAAGAGTTCAGAGACATATGAAAACGTGCTCAGCATCACTAGCCATCAGAGAGATGCAAATTAAAACCACAATGAGATACCACTTTATACCAGTGAGGATAACTATCATAAACCAAGCAACAAACAAGTGTTGGAGAGGATGTAGAGAAAATGAACCCTTAGGGTACTGTTGGTGGGAATGCAGACTGCAGTGCAGCCACTATGGAAAACAGTATGGAATTTCCTAAGAAAACTAAAAATGGACCTGCCTTTTGACCCAGCAATTCCACTGCTGGAATTATATCCTAAGAACCATGAAACACCAATCCAAAAGAACCTATGCACCCCAATGTTCATAGCAGCACAATTTACAATACCCAGTGTTGGAAGCAGCCTAAGTGCCCATCAGTAAATGAACAAATCAAAAAACTATGGTACATTTACAGGACGGGATACTATGCAGTAGAAAAAAAAAAGAAGGAGCTCCTACCCTTTGGGACAGTATGAATGGAACTGGAGAGCATTATGCTAAGTGAAATAATCCAGGTGGTGAAAGACGTATACCATATGATGTTACCTTAAGTGGAACCTAATCAACAAAACAAACAAGCAAGCAAAATATACCAGAGACATTAAAATTAAGAACAATCTGACAGCAGTCAGAGAGCAGGTGGGAGGTGATAATGGGGGAAAGTGCCGAAGGGTTTTCGAGAACACTATAAAGGACACATGGACAGAAACCAATGTGGGTGGAATCAGGGGAGTGATGTGGGGAAGGCTGGGGTGGGGAGGAGTTGTGGGGAGAAAATGCAGAAATCTATACTTGAACAATAAAATAAAAAATAAAGAAAATGTCTGCTGATCTTTGCATTAGAATGCTCTGAAGCAAAATATTAAAAGGTTCCTTAGGCTATCATGTACATAAAAATAAGAATACATTTGTAACAACATACAGGGAAATAAAACAAGCTGATGTGAGCTTATAACAAATTTGACATATAATAGTTAACATGTATTAATTGCTAATTACTCAAAACAAAAAACATTTGCTAGAATTCAATATAAGAACTATCATTTTGGAAACATTTTTCTCAATTCTTTGAGTCCTTGCTTCCAGGCATGTCCTTTGTTTGGTTCAAATAAACTCTTATTAAAAAAAATAACTATATATTTTATCATTTATATTTGATGCTGGTAGAGCAGAGTTCTTTAAGTAAATATACTTGAGTAGTTCTAGCCCAGGATGTCAAATTCATTTTTACCAGGAGCCACATCAGCCTTGCAGTTGCCTTCAAAGGGCTAAATATAATTTTGGGGCTGTATAAATGTAACTACTCTTTAACTAGGGGCAAGAAGCTCTACATTTAACCGTTGGTAGGCAACTGTGAGGCTGATGTGGCCCCTGGTGAAAATGAGTTTGAAACCCCTGGTCAAGCCTTTGTAAAGACGAATTGTTCAAAGCCATTGGAGGCACCAGAAGTTCATTATGTTCTATTTTACTTTAAATGATAAGATTGCCTCTAAATTGACAATTAAGAGGCTGGTATTTTTCAACTAATTTAAACTATTATGGCAAAATATTACTTACTCTTTCTTTAATTTCTATAGTTTTCCCAGTAGTCACAGTCTTGGGTTTGATAATAACAATACTGTATAGTTTGTCTATGAAAAAAGTAAATATACAAATTTCATTCTCTTGGTACAAAGTCTAGATAATCAAGGTTTTGGCAACTAAAAATGTAAACTACTAATGTCCACTGAATTTTTGTCAGTTGACAGTTTTGTTCTTATTATGGCATTTCAACTACCAAAGAATTTCTATGTAGAACCAAAGTTCACTTTCATGTTTGCACATAAGAAAAATACTCACAAGAGTTTGTAGTCAACGGGCAAAGAAAGAAAAAAGGAAGGAAGGAAGGAAGGAAGGAAGGAAGGAAGGAAGGAAGGAAGGAAGGAAGGAAGGAAGGAAGGAAGGAAAGCACTGGTTATTTTAATGCAATTCACATAAATTAGAATCACACCCATGACCCATTCAGTTCAGTATTGTTTGTGAGTAGAGTTTCAAATGCAAGCAAACATCACACACTAAAGAATTTACCACTATGGTTTATTCACATTTATCTACATATTCTTAGATGTTTTACCTCTACTACCTCAGTATAATTGAACGTACACTCATATACCCACATAGACAATCCAGTGACCCCAGGAAATTGTTAATGGTACACTAAATTGGGAGTGTAGGTGATCAAGAAAGTGATTACTTTCAAAAGTTGAAGGATAAAATAGGAGAAAGCTGCTGTCCAGATGAGTTACCTGTGGTCCTGCCTGGGTAACCTCTGAATGGCTCCAGGCATAGAAACCAAAGAGAAATGGGAGAAAAGCAAAAGAGGTTTCTTTTTCTTTTTTATGTTCTATAAATTAGTACAATATAATTTTTTATGTTTATTTTTTATTGTTCACTTACAGTCATCCCACCTTTTTCCTCATGCTTTCCCCTGCCCCATCTCACCCCCTACACACATTTAATCCCCACTGTCCACACCCATGGGTCCTCTATTCATGTTCCTTTGCTTGCTACTTCCTCCTTCTTTCCCCATTACCTGCCTCCCCCATCCCTTCTGGTCACTGTCAGTTTGTTCTTTATTTTCATGTCTCTGGTTCTATTTTGCTCACTTATTTGCAGCATAGCCATGTGCTGGAAACAGCATAAGTGCCCATCAGTAAATGAGAGGATCATAAAACTGTGGTACATTTACACAGTGGAATACGACACAACACAGCAAGAAAGACAGAGGGAACCCCTACCTTTCATAACAGCATGGATGGAACTGGAGAGCATTATGCTAAGTGAAATAAACCAGGTGGTGAAAGATAAATACCATATGATCTCACTTATAAGAGGTTTCATTTTAATAGCTGAGTCTAGTACTGCACAAATCATCATTTATCCTATCAGTTCCTTATCAATTGATGGCATTATGAGCTCTTTGCTGCTTTAAGTGATGCTGTAATGAACATCCATGTACACAAATCCTCTGCCATTACTTTAAATTTACTTACCAACATTTTCATTGGATGCTTCCCCAGTATCTTCTGCATCTGAGTCTACAAGTGCAATTTCATGATACTATGGAAGAAAATGCAAATAAAACAGTTATATTTTAATGTGATAGTGAGTTTTTAGAAATTTTGTTTATAATAAATATTTATAATCTAAGGGATAAAAGGTAAGTGGGAAATATGCCTGCATTTGTCTAACACTACTTTTCCCAAGCTTTCCATTAAAATAGATAAAGAATATTTAAAATAGTTGGGGTAGGAGGACTATCAGAAATGATGCATATATGTTGTATGCAAATGATTAAAAACAAAAAACTATAACTTTTGAAGAGCACAATGAAAAAAGAGGCATAAATTAACAAGTAGGAAAACAATACAGACATAATTATCATGTTAAAAGATCAAAAAGCATTTAATAAGTTTCATGATCGATTCCTGAATATTGCTACTAATCAATCAGAAACAGAAAGGTACCACCTTAATTTATTAAGAAAAAAGTTTGCTCAAAACAACAGCTAATTTCCTACTATTGAGTAAAATACTAGAAAGGACAGGTAATGGGGGGGTCTTAATTACTTTAGAAGCCCTGAAAATTCTTCTGTGATTCTGTATACATTAATATACTTACATATAAACATTGTTTTGGAAAAAGAATGAATAACTTCAGATTCTCAATGGAATAAAGACTCAAAAATATTTGGACATAACTATACTAGAAGCATGCACCCTTATTAAAATCAAGAATGAGAAAATTATGCCAGGTATAACTTCAAAATGAATCTGACATTGTATTTGTTAGCTTGTTGGCCAGTAGGGTAGCCATTAACAACATAAGCCTATCTGAACACATAACAACATAACAACATAAGCCTATTGAAATAAGGTTGGTCCAAAATAAAATGTACTACAAGTGAAAAACACACAGCATATTCTAAAGATTTAGTATTGAAAAGTGAATATAATATACCTTATTTTTATATTAGTATATCTTTAAGTGGAATCTTTTAAATATACTGTATTAATAAAGATTTTATTACTATTAAATTAATTTCACCTGCTTGTTTTTATTGTTTCTAATGTGACTAGTAGAATATTTAAAATTATATATGTGGCTCACATTGTGGCTTATATTTTATTACTACCAGGCAATTAAATAATAAAGGTAAATAATAGATGTCCAAAAATAGAATAATTTAAAATAAAAATTATATTAAGAAATTTCTTATTAATTAAAACAGGATGTCATTCAATAAAAACAATGATACAGCAACAATATAACCACAGAACACAGTAGGAAAAGCTGGATAGAATATAGCAATTAGAATGTTTAGGAGTCATTCTGCCTGACTTCAGATTCTGGTCTCATGATCTGTTCCCTGTTACAGGGGAAAGGACTTAATGTTGTCAAGCATTGTCTTATTTGTAAATATCTCATGAGATTTCTTGAGATTCCAGTTTATGATGGTTCAGTATAGGAGGCTCCTGAACTCACCTCCTCCCATGGACACACCAGATCCTACCTATGTATGGCAAAATTTTTTCTGAAAGAGGTCCAAGTACTGTCTGAGTGACTCCTACCCCTCAGGCAAATGGAAAAAGAAAACACAACTATATTGTAATGGATGGGATAGGTTGAGAATCTGGCCATAAACTTCAACCTTGGCAAAATGACATATAATCAGGAGAGAAGTCACAACTTCCAGCATTTTCCTGATGAGTGAATGGTTTGGAGTGAACATGTAAATGCCCCCAATTTTAAGATTTCCAACTGGGTGATGGGTCCCTAAAAGTCTAGTTCTGAAAGCCAAGTGGGGCTCGCATCATTGAAATACACCAGACTACAATAAACTAACAGTTCTCAACACACCCCTGAAGACCCACTGTGACTGTTTTCCCAGGGCTCACTGCAGTGGCAGCAGACTAAAATGCCCTGTTTTCCCAGAAAGAGGCCTATTTGGAAATCTTTAAAGCTGTAGCCCAAGAGTCAGGCTCCTAATTTAATGAAGGTCTAAGGGCTGACTGTAATTTTCTCCTGAGACTGGGGAGGCCAACAGAAGCCATCACATGCTCCTCCTCTGCCCTGCTCCAGGTTGCTGGTATCTCCCTGGAGGGAGCTTGTACACATGTCTGGCACCCCAGCTTCTAAAGTTGCTGCTCAGGTAACAAACCTCTTGGTCACCTGGCTCTTGAAGCCAGCAGAGCTTGCATTCACAGGTCCCTCAGGACTGTAGCTAACAATAAAAGAGTTCTTGACTGGCTACCCCTCAGCACAGTGAAGAGGCAGAAGCCAGAGGCACCCAACTCCTAATATTTCCCTGAGGGAATCTTATTTCCATGTATCAGGGGCTACAGCCTCAGCGGCAGGCTCTTAGTCTGACAAACAGATGGGAACTAACTGAAATCTTCCCCCAAATCCAGGGAAGCTGGCAAGTGCCATGTTTGCACTTTCCCTCTTCTCCATTCCCCATCCCTGGTCTTCACATGAAGATAAACTGAGTGCACATCTGGAATGTCAGCTTTTGTGGCTGCTTCCCAGAGGACACATCCCTTGATAGCCTGGCTCTAGCACCCAGCAGGACTGCTATTGGTTGGTCCAGAAGGACCAGCAATGAGTAAAACCATCCAGAAAGAAAATTGAATAAGGAAACATTGGATTTAAATTACATGTTCAGCCAGATTGATTTAATAGACATTTACAAAACATTGCATCCAAAAGCAACAGAATATCCATTCTTCTCAAGTACACATGGAACATCTTCTAAGCTAGATTATATATTAGGTCACAAAACAAGTCTCAATAGATTTAAGTAGATGAAAATCACATCAAGCATCTTCTGACCATAATGGTATGAGACTAGAAATCAACTATAAAAAGAAACTAGAAAATGCATAAATATATAAAGATTAAACAACATGCTACTGAATGGGTCAAAGAAGAAATCAAAACACAAATCTAAAAACTTCTTGAGGCAACTAAAAATGGAAATACAATGTAAAGAATATGGTTCAACTTCCAGCCAAGATGGAGGTGTAGGTACATACATTGTACCTCCTCACACAACCAAAAGAAAGACAACAACAAATTTAAAAACAAAACAAAACAAAAAAACCAGAAATGACAGACAATTGAACTGTATGAAAGTCTGACAATCAAGGAGTTAAAGAAGAAATATTCTTCCAGACCAGTAGGAGGGGTGGAGATGGACAGCTGGGGTAGAGAGGACTCACGACAAAGCAAGGTGGTGGCTGGTGGAGCAGGTGGTCCGACATTTGTATGCAGATAACCTGGGAGGAACAACTGGGGAGAGAGACAGATTACACAATCCAGGGTTCCAGCACAGGGAAATAAACCCTCAAAACCTGACTGAAAAAACCTGTGAGAATTGTGGCAGTGGGAGAAACTCCAAGCCTCACAGGAGAGTTTGCTGGAGAGACCTACAGGGTCCTAGAATGTACACAAACCCATCCACCCTCGAATCAGCACCAGAAGGGCCTAATTTTCTTGTGGGTAGCAGTGGAAGTGACTGAGAAGTGACTGAAAACAGGCAGAGAGCAGAGCAAGTGGCACCGTTCCCCCTCAGACCCCTGCCCCCACTGACAGCACTGCAATGCAGTGGCTTGGGTTGTCCTCCTGTAGTGAACACCTAAGGCTCTTACCCTTACTATGTAACAGGACACTGAGACAAAAAAAAATGGCCCAAATGAAAGAACAGATCAAAGTTCCAGAAAAGATACAACTAAGCAACAAAGAAATAGCCAACCTATCAGATGCAGTTCAAAACACTGGGAACCAGGAAGCTCACAGAACTGGTTGAGTATGGTCACAACATACAGGGAAAAAATGAAGGTTATGAAAAGTGAAATAAAAGAAAATATACAGGGAACCAACAGTGATAGGAAGGAAACCAGGACTCAGCAATGGTGTGGAGCAGAAGGAAGAAAGAAACATTCAACCAGAACAGAATGATGAAACAAGAATTGAAAAAAATTAGGAGAGGCTGAGGAACCTCCAGGACATCTTTAAACGTTCCAACATCCGAATTATAGGGGTACCAGAAGGGGAAGAGGAAGAGCAACAAGTGGAAAACTTATTTGAACAAATAATAAAGGAGAACTTCCCCAATCCAGCAAAGGAAATAGACTTCCAGAAAGTCCAGGAAGCTCAGAGAATCCTAAAGAAGTTGGACCCGAGGAGGAACACACCAAGGCACATCATAATTACACTACCCAAGATTAAAATGAAGGAGAGAATCTTAAAAGCAACAAGAGGAAAGGAGACAGTTACCTACAAAGGAGTTCCCATTAGACTATCCTTTTATTTCTCAAAGACATCTCAAAAGGCAAAGGGCCTGGAAAGACATATTCAAAGTCTTGAAAGTCAAGGACCTACATCCAAGATTACTCTATCCAGCAAAGCTTTAGTTTAGAATGGAAGGGCAGATAAAGTGCTTCCCAGATAAGGTCAAGTTTAAGGAATTCATCATCACCAAGCCCCTATTATATGAAATGTTAAAGGGACTTATCTAAGAAAAAGAAGATGAAAAGTATGAACAGTAAAATGAGAATAAACTCACAACTATTAACAACAGAATCTTAAAATCAAAAACAAAAACAAACTAGAACAGGAACAGAATCACAGAAATGGAGATCACAGGGAGGGTTATCAGCAGGGAAGTGGGAGGGGGAGGGGAAAAGGTACAGAGAATAAGTAGCATAGATGGTAGGCAAAAAGTAGGCAAGGGGAGGTTAAGAATAGTATAGGAAATGTAGAAGCCAAAGAACTTATATGTACAACCCATGGACATAAACTAAATGGGGGGAATGCAGGTGGGAGGGGGTGTGCATGGCAGAGGAGAGTGAAGGGGGGAAAATGGGACAACTGTAATAGTATAATCAATAAAATATACGTTTAAAAAACTTAAAGAATACAACAAGAGTTTTAAGAGGGGAGGTCACAGCAATAAATGCTTACATTTTTAAAAAATCTCAAATAAACATTATAACTTTACACTTCAAGGAACCAGAACAACAACAACAATGAAAAAACTAGACCAAGAATAAATACAGCCAAAGTTAGCACATGAAGGAAATAGCAGTGATTAGAGCAGTAGTGAATACATTAGAAACTATAAATACATAGAAAAAATCAGGCAAACTAAATCTGGTTGTTTTTTAAAAAAGGAAACAGACACATTTTTTACATAGACTTTAAAAAAATAAAGAAAACTCAAGTAAAACAAAATAAAAGGGCAGACATTATAACTGATACCACTGACACCAAGGAAATACAAAGAATCTTAAGAGACTGCTAGGACCAACTGTTAAATCACTACCTCAGAAAGTTATCTGCACTCTAATGTTCATTGCAGCATTACAATTGACATTTAAACAACCCGTGTTTGAACTGCATGAGTACTTATAGGCAGATTTTTTTTCAGTAAACATACCATCAGCCACCCATATCCCTGGGTTTGGCATTCAAATGCAAATAAAAAACAGTTCTTTCAATCCAAGGTTGGGAATCCATGGAAGCAGAGGGCTGACTGTGTGCATTGCTTCATGCCATTGTATATAAGGGACTTGAGCATTAACGGATTTTGGTATCTGCAGGGTGTTCTAGAACCAATTTCACTTAGAGAAAGGACTGGGTTTGGAAGGAGCAAAAGTTATTTGGGGATTTTCAACTGTGCAAAGGTCATTTCCCCTAACTCCTACATTGCCCAAGTGTTGACTGTATTTATAATAGCCAAGATATGAAAACAAGCTAAGTGTCCATAAATGAATGAATGGATAAAGAAAATGTGGTATATAAATATGATAAAATATTATTTATCCATAAAAAAAGGACATTCTATCATTTGTGACAACATGGATGGACCTTGGGGGCATTATGCTAAGTGAAATAAGACAAAGATAAATACTGTATGATCTCATATGCAGAAGCTTAAAAAAACTGAAGTCATAGATACGAAAAATAAAATGGTTGTTGCCAGAGGAGGAGGATGGGGAGTGGGGGATGTGGGGAAAGGTGGTCCAAGGGTACAAGCTTACAGTTTAAGGTAAGTTCTGGGGTATAATATATGGCACAGTGACTATAATTAAATACAATATTTTATCTTTGAAAATTGCTGAGAGAGACCTTAGAAGTTCTTACAAGAAAAAATATAATCATGAGAGGTGACAGATGTTAACTAACCTTGGTATAATAATCATTTTGCAATATACGCATATATAAAATCATTACATCTTAAAATATACACTTATTTGTCAATTATATCTCAAGAAAGCTGGAGGTGAAAAGATTTCTGTAAGGATTAAATGAGATCTGTTTGCAAATCATAGGAAACAGTAAGTCTCCAATCATTCCTAGTAATGATAATTTTTAAGAAGAAGTAGGGAGAGTGGGAAGAGAGAGAGAAGGAAGAAGATTCCCTGAAAAACAAGACAACCTGAAAAAGTAAAGAAAAATGTCCTTGGATGCTAACAATCTCTATTAGAGATATAAATTTCTTACATTTATCATTTTTCAGTTGTCCATCAAAATGTTTTTTAATGCTCTTAAGTATTTTCTATACAATGTCCATATTAGCACAGTGACACACAGCACGTTTTTCCCATTTTATTGCCTTCCTTTACATTTTAGAGGCACTTCAAAGTTTTAAATAATTAAATCTATCTATTTTTCCTTTTTGATATCTCTGGTTTGTGTTATACTTACAAGGCATTCTCCAATCTATGACAATATAGGGATCTGACAATATTTTCTTCTGATACCTTTATACTTAGTTTCTTCATATTTGACTCTTTAATTCATTTGTAATTTATTTATGTACATGTGAGGAAATTATACAACTTTCTTATACAAATTGTAAAACAAATATTCTAAACCTGTTTATTGAATATGTGTATACTTTCCTGATTTAAACTGACATTTTGATAGCAAATATTTATAAAAGTTTGGGCTTATATCTTCTCGACATTTCTATTTTTTAATATTTCTTGGCTAATATCTACTTTCTGTTTCTTAAATTCATATTTCCCTTGGGTTTGTTGTTGTTGTTGTTTGTTGTATGTATGTGTGTATTTCAATAACATCAGTTGCTCATATTTATATACCTATATTTCTGATCACTTTTTTATGTGGCTTACTTTCCTGTACTATTATGTTCATACCTCCATATACTTTATGGTTTGTTTTGTGAGTTTAAAATATTTCATTTCTTATTACATAGGTACTATGCTTCACATACACAGAATCTTTTTCTAAATATCCTATCAAGTGTACTCTTTTTAAAATTCATCTATCTTGGCCTCTTTCTACATGAATAATATGTTGTTAAAACACACTAAATAACATCATACTATGGATTTATATAATTTATGACACAAATTATAGACATTTTATGTAATCTATTGGCTGTTGCTAGCATTTGGATTAATTCCAAATTTTTTAATAGCAGGAAACACTGCGATAAATATTCTTTTCTATATTTGTCTCATTATCTTCTTAGAAAAAATTAATTGTTCAGTCAAAACATATGTGTTTTTTAAGGCCTTTGATTCATATTGCCAAAACACCTCCCGAGGCTTTGCAACATTTAGACACCTAGAGAGCTATAAAATCAGAAAAAATGCTTTAGGAAAGCAAACAAACAAACAAAAAAGATGTAATGCAATTTTTTTAAACAAAATAGTCAGTCATCTAAAGTATTACCTGAGGGCGAACCATTTTACCTGCTGCAATTTTTCTCTCCTCGTTGATCAAGTTAATAATTTTTTTATTAACAAGTGGTGCATTTGCACCCTCAATCTTTGCAATAATTTTGCCATTCTACAAAGGAAAAGAAAGCATGAAGAAAACTTTCATTTTCAGGATAAGTCAAAAATTAGTATTTCAACTAAACTAAGTAAACCCACTCTGACCCACACCTCCACCAATACTTTCTTAACAACTGAAATTTGCCATTTTAAAATATGATATAAGTGATGTGAAAGTATGTCTTGATTGGGTAAACTACACTCTTTGAGTTCCACCTGCACTTGTCTGTCCTCCAATGACCAAAGACAGGCCATCCCTGCATTATATTTTAATGGTCCTTTGTAGGCCTACCAATATTATCCTCCCTAATTATCTCCAACATTATATTGCTTTTACCTATATTACAGCACATATTTACTAAATGCTTGTTTACTAGCACTATACTAGGTATGATGTTATGGAATAATAGTTTTACCTATTACTACCTGACCTACTAATATCTGACCTAGTTATATTACAACACACACACACATGAAATAACAATGACAGGCACCATCAAAAGAGGAACAAAGAACTTGGAGCATCTATAAGAATTGGATCCTTATCAAATTGATCACAGAAGGTATTTATCAATAACAGGAAATGATTCTTGGTGTAAAATATGAAGTATGGGCAAGAGATACCTAGGAAAAAAAGGAGAAGAAAGAACATTCTAGGCAAAAGGAATAGAGATCAAAGTGTCTAAAGCCCAGAAGGGAATATGTCAAATGAGAAGGCCAGCCAAGAAATTGAGGGGTGACAGCTCTGAGATGAAGCTCACAGCCATGAAGAGCCAGACCCCGGCAGAGCCTCGTGGTCATGGAAGGATGCACACTTTATCCTCACTGCACTGAGAAACCTTTAAAATACTTAAACGGGCAGTGACCACAATTAAAACTGTTGTTTGTTAAGAACATTTCACCTATCATGTGGAGAAAGGATTAGAGGAGAATCAGAAGATATACAAATTAGAAGCTATTGTAGAATTGAAATGAGGGAAGGTTGCAGAGTCTCCGACAGTGGTGATGAGATGGAAAGAATGAAAAGGAAGAGATGAGTGTGAGGAAGTCTTGGGTGGTCAAAGTGACAGGTCCAGGTTCCAGTGTGGCTTGGGTATGATGTTAAAAAGAGAAGTTGCTAAGATAACTTTACAGTTCTCGCTCGAGAAACTAGATAAATTAAAAGGTTATTCACCAGAAGAGACAACGCTAGAAAACCATGTTTTCTGGGAGAGGGAGGATTGAATCAGTTCATTGTGAGATGTTCTTGAGACAACCAAGAAGAAATGTCAAGCCACCAGTTAGATAAACAGGTCTGGAGCTCAAGAAGAGGATTTAGCTGAAAATGTAAATTCCAGTCATTGATATATGAGGTGACAACTGAAACTCTGTAGAGGAGATTTTCTAAGAAAGGTACATGACCTGATAAAGTCTATATTTAACTCTTGAATAAAGAAGGATGAATCTGCAAAAAAGATGAAGAGGGGGTAGCATCTAGGAAGGCAAAAGAAAAACCAGGTCACAAAAGGAAGCAAATTTTTCAAAAAGAAAGATATGGCCACTGTATTCAATATACTTGAGAGGTAGAGTATGATGAAGGCCTAAGAGCATTTGGTATATTTAGCAATAAGCTGGTAACAGGATACATTAGCAATAGAAAAATTTGGTGGAATAATAAGACATAAGTTAGATTAAATGGGTATGGAGTTAATGGGATGAGGAGAAATGGAGTAAAAATAAATTTAAAAATCTTCTGATAAATTTAGCTGAGAACTAAAAGAGAGAGAGAAGTAGAAGTTAGAGAGGGACATGATAGAAAAAGAAGTATTCTATTTTAAAAGAAAAGAATTATATTCAAAGATGAAAGAGAAGAATCCGTCTGAGATTTAAATAAAATCTGACATTCTAATAACCATTTCCCACTGAAAGGAACTTTCCAGCAATTCTGTGAACTTTCTAATGTCCCTTGAAAAAGCCCTTCTTGATGGAATTTGCTGAAATAAATTTGTGGTCAGCTAAGAATGCTGACCAGTACAAAGGGCCATTGTGGAACTATTTGAACAAATAAACTGGTGTGGGAGAGCGGTTTTGTGATTACAGTTGAGACTCTTTTTTTCTTTTTTTAAAATATATTTTATTGATTATGCCATTACAGTTGTTCTATTTCCCCCCTTCATTCCCCTCTACCTTGCACACCCCTCCCCCACCATTCCCCTCTTTAGTTTATGACCACGTGTCTCAAGTTCTTTAGATTCTGTATTTCCCATACTATTCTTGCCCTCCCCCTATCTATTTTCTACCTACTGTCTGTGCTACTTATTTTCTATACCTTCTCCCACCTTCTCCCCCCTTCTCCTCCTCCCACTCCCCTGTTGCTAACCCTCCATGAGATCTTCATTTCTATGGTTCTGCTCCTGATCTAGCTGTCCTCTTAGTTTGCTTTTGTTTTAGGTGTGGTTGTTGATAACTGTGAGTTTGCTCTCATTTCACTGTTCGTCTTTTATCTTCTTTTTCTTAGATAAGTCCCTTTAACATTTCATATAATAAGGGCTTGGTGATGATGAACTTCTTGAATTTGATCTTATCTGAGAAGCACTTTATCTGCCCTTCCATTCTAAATGAAAGCTTTGCCGGTTGTAGGTTATTGGATTTCATGACTTGGAGTACTTCTTTCTAGCCCCTTCTTGCCTGTAAGGTGTCTTTTGAGAAATCAGCTGACAGTCTGATGGGAACTCCTTTGTAGGTGACTGTCCCCTTATCTCTTGCTGCTTCTAGGATTCCCTCCTTCATTTTAATCTTGGCTAATATAATGATGTTGTGCCTTGGTGTGTTCCTTCTTGGGTTCAACTTCTTTGGGACTCTCTGAGCTTCCTGGATTTCCTGGAAGTCTATTGCCTTTACCAGATTGGGAAAGTTCTCTTTTATTATTTGCTCAAATAAGTTTTTCACTTGTGGCTGTTCCTCTTCCCCTTCTGGTACTCCTATAATTTGGATGTTGGAATGTTTAAAGATGTCCTGGAGGTTCCTAAGCCTCTCCTCATTTTTTTTGAATTCTTGTCTTTTCATTCTTTTCTGTTTGGTCATTTTTTTCTTCCTTTTGGTCCACTCCCTTGATTTGAGTCCCAGTTTCCTTTCCATCACTATTGGTTTGCTGTGTGTTTGCCTTCATTTCAGTTAGTTTAGCCTTCATTTGTTCCTCTAATTTCTGACTAAAATTAACCAGTTCTGTGAGCATCCTGAGCACCAGTGTTTTGAACTGTGAATTTGATAGGTTGCCAATTTCTTGGTTGTTTAGAGTTGTCAGCTCCAGGGGTTTGAGTTCTTCTTGAGCCATGTTTTGTTCTGTTTGAGCCTGTTACACATGAGGAGGGGAACCTCAGATGTTCACCAGAATGGGGCCACCCAGGTCGCTGATTTGTGATGCTGTATGTGAGGGCGGGGTCAGAGAGGGAGCAGTAGCAGTCCCCTCTGCTGCTTCCCACCACTGGGACCTGCGTGGTCTGTCTCATTGCTGGCTCCTTCGCTGGTTTATCTGCGCACGTGAATTTGTGACCGCAGTCAGCCTGCCACCTTGCTCTTTCACTGGGTCTGCCCATCACAACCCCACACCTGGGATCCGCTCTCAGCTGCCTGTGCCCACCTGGGGTGGGGGGTGGTCTTTTTTGCCTGAACCCACTCTGCTGCTGGCTCTGCCCCTCTTACCAGTCTGGCTGAATGGCTCGTTGTTGTCGGACTTTCGTATAGTTCAATTTTCTGTGGTTTGACTGCATTTTTTGTTGCTAAAACTTTGTTGTTTTTAAACTTGGTTGTGCGAGAGGGCGCAATGTTTCCACTTATGCCTCCATCTTGGTGAAATACCTCTTTTTTTCTTTTTTAAATTATTTTATTGTTGTTCAATTACAGTTGTCTGTATTTTCTCCCCACCCCTCCCCCAACCTCTCCAGACCCAGCTCCCTCCCTTGCTTTCACTCTCCCCCTTGGTTTGGCCATGTGTCCTTTGTAGTAGTTCCTGACTGATTGAGACGCTTAATGATTACAGGTAAGGAATATGAGAGATAACAAAGTCAGAGGCATAAAGCACAGGAGTGATTGGGTGAGGTACACTGCAAAAAAATTTCATTAAAAATTAGGCGGCCAAGAATTAAGAGTCCAGGATTTTGGGTTGGTTGTCAGTGTAAAGTCCTAGGGTGATGGCAAGACTTGGTGTGAAAGGAAAACTTTAAGGCACATGCAAAGTCTTCAGTCATCTACACAACTGATCCAAAGGCCAGTGAATGACAGAAATAAGGTGAAGGAGGAGGAGTCAAATAGAGTAGACCTCCAACAAACAAAGAAAAGAAAGTTATTGTAGTAACAAGTAAAGAAACATCAAGTCTACATCTGGCCTCAGGAAAGAATCTGAGAAAATAGTCACCATTTCTGGGCAGCAGAGGAAATGTCCTATGTAAGGATGCAGACTTAAGGAAAGTCAGGAAAGTGGAACAAAAGTTCAGGGCCAAGGGTAAAGCTTCAGAAGTCTGATAACTACTTATAACAATTCCAGATGTCACACAGTAAAAGGGTTTGAGAGATGGGGGAGTACTAGAGAAATGGGCCAGGAAAAAATATTTCGAATTTTGGGATGAAGCATGCGTGGAGGGGTGGTCTTATAATTTGGGCATTGATTGCACATAAAAGAAAATTGACTGGATGGTCCAGTTGAGAAGGGTGGACAAGAGTCTACTGATCAGACCTGACTAAATTGGCAGGATGATGGTCATCCCAGAGCTTTAGACTGTATATGGTGGTTCACCTACCCAGTCTTTTTTCCTCACTCCCATACTCCTAACTGTTCCTGCTGCTGCAGTCTCCTCATTGTCCCATGAGTCTAAGTCCATTTCTACTTCGTGCAGTTACTCATTCTGGTTCCAGGCCAGGGGTCAGCAAACTAGGACCCAACACAGGGCCAGTATTCTGGGAAAGCTAAAAATACTTAGCTAGCTGACCCCTCATCTAACTCATCAAATCCTACATATCCAGATCGACAATACAATTTTTAATTCAATTAACACAGTAATTTAGTTCCTTGAAATAACTGTAAGAGTAGTACTTAACAGAAGGAAAAAGTTATATCCAGAAGTATTTTTACTATCAAAAATGACAACTGAAATGTCTGGCAGCACAGGAACAGTCCAGGCCTTCTCTGAGAAGCCTTTCCGTAGGATCCCAGTTCTCCAGCTTTCTGTGGAGCAGCTATACTCTGTCACACAACTTAGCATTTAACTGTATATTTGCCTTTTACAAAAAAAGCACTTATTATGGTTTTCTGATGGTTAAAGCTGTTGTGTTCATTACAGAATAGTTGGAAAACATTGGTAAGTATAAAGAAGAAAACTGAAATTATGCAATCTTCCTCCATACATAGAAAACTAATGACATTTTGGTGATTACACAGTCTTCATTCCATTTATTTGTAAATGCAGAGAGAAAAGTGATAGATATTACTAAATGGTGATCATATAGCTACTTCCTTGATTGGTATATGTGAATATCTGTAAGCAATTCTCTCCTACTGCATATCTAAGAAATTTCTGGTTTTTCACTTCTTTAAGTAATAATTCATCATTTAAATGTCTGATTATTTCCTTCAGAAAGGTAAATACACCTTGTTTTTCTTTTCCCAAATCAGCTTAGTATGTGGTAGTCTAATTACTCAATCCATTATTAGCTCTTAGAAGTCATGTTATAAAATATATTAATAGATAAGCAAAGATAAAATAAAAAATCTGCAATTAGTATCATCAAAAAAAAGTTCTGTGGTAATTTTACCATGCTACCTGCTCTTTAACTGTAAATTGGAATCTGATAATACATTTGAGACAATAAATATTATACTTACAACACTAAAAAGAAAAATAGGTTCACATTTATCTCTAAATGGCTGCAAAGTCACAATGTTGTCGGCCTCTGCCTGGAAAAACACATTAAACTTTCTCATGTTAATAAAGGAAACTATGTCCAAGTCATTAGACACGCTATGTACAAAAACACAGATACACATATAAATACTTACTCAACACTCCCTTAGTTGTTAGAGTTGTTTTAAGGATCAAATTGCAAACACTGGCCAGTCAGGCCCTGTGTCAGTCGGCCTCAGCCTGACTGCTGGCCGTTCACAGTTATGTACCACCCACCCACCCAAAAAGAGAACAAAGGGGGCTGAAAGAAACTATAATATTAAAGAACAGAAGGCAAAGATTATATTTAAAAGTAATTAGGTATCATCATTACAAAAATGTTTATATCATAATAAAGCACTAACAGGTAAAGCATTTAATATTGTAAAAGAACTACAGTAAATAATATTTACTGAATTTTTATATGTATAGGTATAATGTTATTAAAAGTCTTTTAAAAGGGCACATAATTGAAAAAATTATGTTGACCATTTAGCTTAGGGTTATTTCAATAATCCTAATCAACTTCATAGGCTTTAATTTTGGATTAAAATTACAAGTTCTGAAAGGTTCCCTTTCCTTGGCTAAGAAAAATATCCAGCAAAGGGTGCTACTCCATCGCTACAGTGGAGTTTGGAAACTATGAATTTTCTTCACCCTTTATGAGCAAGTCATATCATAAAACCAGGACCAAGCTATGTGACTATACATTGTTCAGTGTGCTCACATATAGCAAAAGGAAAACCATTCAAGGACAATGCACAAAATTTTATTTTGTTAAATTCAACAGATGCTAGTACTATAAATACAACATATTTTGGAGAGACTACCAGACTTCCCAGTGGGATCAACATAGTCATGGGACTAATGCCTCATGGCTATGGAGTTCTGTCTGGTCCAGGTACTACTGGGAGGACAATCATAAATATCAGGCCTGTATCCTCACAGCTGTGTGGCCTGTATCCTCACAGCTGTGTGGCCTGTATCCTGAGCTGTGCTGAGATGAGAGCCTAAGAATGTAAATGGCCTAATTTTTCTTCCACACCCACTTCGCAGCCTCCATCACCATTCCCTCCCCAAACATACCCCAGGTTTGTTTCTACTTAGATTCAACAAACAAGGAGGGATATGATATGGTGACTCTAGACCACCTGGAAACACAGCATCCAGTTCCATTACCTCACTGCCTAAGGACTTCTTCCTCACTTTCCTCTGCTCAAGTTCCTTTCCAGCTAGCCTGACAGGTAAATAGGGGAGCCTGCTTTGTTGTTAGCTTCTCCCCATTGACCCTCAGTTTGTTTTCAGACACTGGAATTTCCCCCGTGGTTCCTGGCCTATGAAACTGCACTCCTACCACAACCAGACAGCTGCTAGGATTCATGAGAATTTTCTAATAATGTTCGGTTATCTGTGATCCATTTGCCAGCTGTCAGATCCCCCTGATGCTACTACCTTTTAACTTCTCATGCCAACGTATTGTCTACTGCATGTGGCAATCCTGTTTAGGCCCCCATTCTCTGTCCTCTAAAATTAGCTTTTCGTCCCTGCCAAGGATCAAATTTAGAATCACATTCCAGCCTCATTCAGGTGGTTCTGACTCTTCAGAGTAAATAAAGCATCATTATGTAATGCTGCCTTTTAAACACTACAGGGCCCTTTTTTCATAAGGCAAAAATGATTCCATTTCATTAAAAATGTTTTTTTCTTTGTTGGTTCTTTAGTTTTTTCTTTGCCACCTACTGTCTTGAAGTGAAATAATATTAAGAGGTGAGTTTCTAAGCTTTATACTGCTTATTTGTAATGTAGAAGTAAGAAAAAAAGTCCTGTAAACAACATGTCTGCAGAAGGGGATGGAGGGACAAACACAAGTTAAGGTCAGTAAGGAATGTCATTCCCAATGTCTGGGTTGGAAGGGGTCATAGAAATCCTGAGAATATGCACGGGGTTGAGGTTTCATGTTTGCATCAGGAATTATGCACTTTAGGGATATGGAATAAAGATATGTAATCAGTTATCTGCTTCTGCATCTTAGGTCTAGCTGGTTTGGACATATTTTTGTCCAGTAGAAGTAGAATGTGAGCTACAGTTATACTTTTAAATTTTCTAGTAGCCACATTTAAAACCTAAAAGAAATGGTGGAACTAACATAATAATATATTTAATAATACAAATTTCTTATACAATAATATCCAAAATATGATCATTTTAACAGGTGATCAATGTCAACATTATTGAAATATTTCACATTCTTTTTACCATACTAAGTCTTCAAATCTCATGTTTATTTTATACTTAGAGTACATCTGAATTTATGGGTTAAATTTTAAGCATAAATAATCTCTAATTTGATTTCATAAAATTTACAGTAAAAAAGTAGATTCTGTTATCCAAGTTTCCCCAAACAACTTGAAAAGTTTTACAATAACCTAATTGAGTATATTTTCAAATTTAAATATGTTAATTAAAAATAAAAATTCAGTTCCTCTGTCACACTAGCCACATTTCAGTGCTCCAAAAACACTTGTGCCTAGTGTCCACCATATTAAATAACAAAGCTCTAAGTAGTTAATAACTTAATGTGGATAAATTGAATAACCAATACAATTAATTTCTTGTCACATTTGGTGACAAATAAGTAAGGGAAATCACTATGTGGTAAATACCCAGAGTCTAACCCAAAGTTGTTTAGTAACCAGCATTGGCAGCTGTTATTCTAAGAGACAAACTGCATATGGTCAGGTGAAAAGAAACAGGTCAATAGGCAGATATCCATTTTTATACTTTTCTAACATTCACAACCATGGTCAATAACCTCAATGCTATAGGAATAAAATGAAAATCACATTTGTTCTCGGATCAGAAAGAACTAAACATAGCAACACTACCATGTAAACAGTGTCCATTTTGAAGAGTTAACAATCCTTAGAGAGCATACTTCAGTACTTAAAATAGCAAGAAAACTATAGTTTAATAGAAATTAAATCCTTACTACAACAAAATGCAGAATTTCATCTTCGTTCAACTCATTTTTCAATTTTCTGAATAAAGTTTGCATTGCTTTGCAAGGTCCACACCAGGCTTGATAAACATCGATCACTAGAAGATGATGATATTTATGAAAGAACATAGTCAAAGATTCTAGAATAGCAGGAGCTATTGCCCCAGGGACAAAGGCAAAGTACATAGCAGGGCTCTATGCTGGAAGTAGGGAGCCACACTCTGTACTGGGGTGCTGTGAGGTGTCCTGGGCCAAACTACAGGGGATTGGACAAGGAGGGAGCCCCAGTACCTGTTAGGCCTTTGTTCTGCAACATCTCATCCCATAGGCTCTGACTATTGATGACTGCCTGCAAAAAGGAAGGCACTGTAAACGATCTTCAAGCTCTAATGCACCAAGTAAAGAATTATTGATACGTCATGCCCACCTGCAACTGGACTTCACGCTTTTTGCCTGCCATTTATCCACTATCACATGAAAAAGGGAAGCAAAATAGAAAATATTTCAGGTAAAGTTAAATAATGTTCTGTTTATACATTTAAGCAGCATCTTAATGTACCATAGAAATTTTCTTTCAATATCGGCTATGTGCTTCCCCCCTCTCTAAAAGAAGGGGGCCCTGATGTCCCTGAAGCGCTTTCCATGCTGTTTAAAAACCTACTTACTTACAACAGTCAAACTTCTTACTTTCCCAAGATTCCTGAAGCAAGCTAAGTATGTTAGGAGTTACAATTACTTGTTGGAATCTGCAAAAAGCCTTACACAAAACAGAGCCTCCTTTAAACTGGATTGGGATGTTCAAAGAATAGGAAGGAACCACCCCCACAGGATCAAAATCGGCCCTTTTGCTGAAGCTTGTGGTCTCTGTGGGATAAACTCCACCAAGTCTGAGTACCTGAATGTCCCGCAGGCAGAATCTCAGGGTGGCTGGGCTTCTGCTGCACTTTCTGCCTGCGCTAATCCCTGCAAACAGCTGGAAAAGGGACCCGGGTGGCCCGGGAAGGGGGCGGGAGCCAACGTTTCCAGCTAGTCCAGCAGCAGTTCAGGCCCTTCCGAGCCACGCCTCGTGCCTCGACCCACGCATTCAGACCCTGACAGCAGTTAGAGCGGTTGGCCCTTGGCCAGGAAAATCAAGCCCTCTTGTGCCCCTACCCTGAAGGGACTACAAAGACCTGTTTCCCGGTCTCCCTCAGCTGTCTCCTCTCTGTTTAGTTCCCTCCATGCAAGACAATAGGCGAAATGAGGTTTTTAAACATCACTCCTATTGATTGCAGAAAACTTGAATGTTAACGCTTTGAAACATAAACTTGATGAGATTTTGACTTGGGTCTTCCTATAATTGACTTCAAAGACAAGTGCACTATGAAATGTTATTTATAAGAAACTGCGATTGTATTTTATTAAAACAAAGCATTAATTATACATTCCAAGTAGCTTATGAGAGATGTTATTCCTGAAAAGATTTAATAGTATGTTTTCCTCCTTGCATATATTTGACATTATCTTTCAAGATTTGTTGGAAGTGGGTTTTTTTTGTACATTGCTCTGCCTCTTTTTCCTCCTAGCACGGCACTAGTTATAATATTTAATTATTTTCTTGGTTTATAGATTTATTGCCACCTGTTTCATTTGTATACTCACTCAACCTCTGTCTAAACATAATATGAATGAAGACCCAGAGAAGAAGAACTGATCTTTTTTCAAATTTACTGAATCTTTTCTTTGCCATTTCTCATGTGTTGAGTCCATCTAATTAATGCTTTACTTCAGTTATTTTGATTTTCAACTTTACAATACCATTTTTAATAGTATTTTCTGTTGAGATTTCCTATCTGATACATTCACTGATGTCATATTTTCATTAATTTAAAAAAGTTTTTTCTTTCTTTGAACATTTTTTTTCACAGTTGCTTTGAAATCTGTGCTAAATGTAACATTTAGGCACACTCAGAATCAATTTCCATTAATTGCCCTTTTTGATCCTGAGCAAAAGGTATACTTTTCTGTTTCTTTGTACACCTAGTAAATTTTAATCAAAACTGAGCATTATTGATAATATTGTCAACCTTGTAAAGACACTGAGTTCTCTTGTATTATTTTATTTTTTTCAAAGATTTCACTTATGTATTTTTAGAGAGGGGAAGGAAGGGAGAAAGAGAAGAGAAACATCAATATGCAGTTGCTTCTCACATGTCCCCTACTGGGGACCTGTCCAGCAAGTCAGGCATGTGCCCTGATTTGGAATTGAACCAGAGACTTTCTGGTTCACAGGCCAGCACTCAATCCACTGAGCCACACCAGCCATAGCTCTTGTATTATTTTAAACATTGCTATTTAATTGTTCTAGCAGGTGATTAACTTTCTAATGCAAAGTTAGAATACCCCATGATGTACAGCATCTAATAAAAAGATACAGATAAGTTGGGAGTCAATGATGAAGATATAATGTACACAGCAAGCATAGAAAGTTGACATGACTATATTAATATCAAATAAAGTGACTTCAGTACAAGAGTATTTTCACAGATAGACATTTCCTGATGATAAAAAGGTTTATCAAGAAGACAAATATTTTAATTGTATATACTTAACAACAGAGCTCAAAAATACATAGACCAAAAAAATTGCCTGAATTAAATGAAAGAATAGATGCATCCACCATGATGATTAGAGATTCTAACATCCCTTTCCCAATAAATGATAGAATAAGTATATACAAATCACTAAGCTTTTTGAAGATGTAAACAACTTTATCAATGATCTTGACCTGACATTTACTGACAGCTGCAAAATATACCTTCTCTTCAAGTGTAGTTGGAATATTTTCCACAATGAATCATATAGTAGGTCATTTTTACCCTGTGTTTTTAAAATATTTTATTTATTTATTTTTAGAGAGAGGGTAAGGGAGAAAGAGAGGGAGAGAAAAATCAATGTGTGATTGCCTCTCTCATGCCCCCTACTGGCCACCTGGCCCACAACTCAGACATATGCTCTGATTGGGAATTAAACTGGTGACTCTGGTTCACAGGCGGGAAGCTCAATCCACTGAGCCACACCAGCCAGGGCTATATAGTACATAATTTTAAAAAGCACAATAAATTTAAAAAATTGGAATCTTTCAGCATATTTTCTCTAATCACAATAGAAATAAACTAGAAATCAATAAAATATTTGGTAAATCATTAAACAACCGATAGTTAAGCAACACTCTATTAAATAATCCATGAATAAAGAAATCAAAATGGAAATTAGAATATATTTTTAATTAAATGATAATTAAAACACAACATATCAAAATTTGTTAGATGTTGGTAATTCACTGGTTAAAGAAAAACTATAATAATAAAGACATATTAGACAGGTTTTAAAATATATAATGCTTTAAGTTACAACTTAAGAACTACAAAAATGTATTAAAGTAAGGTGAGGAAAGAAAATAGAAAAGATTAGAAAAAATCATTTAAAGAGCAAACCAAAAATAAAATGATATTGACAAAATCAAAAGTTGTTTTTTTAAAGATCAGTAAAATTGATAAATTCAGAACAATAGTGATCAAGAAAAATAAACACCAATTTCCAGCATCACAAATAAAAGATGAGATGTCACTAGTGATCTCATGGCAATTAAAATGACAATAATAAAATATAACAACTTTATACTATCAATTTTTTTAAACTTAGCTGAAATAAAAATTCTTCAAAAACTGCAACTTGCTTTTTTAAATACAATTATTATAAAATATAAATGTTTTGTGCATTTAAATATATACAAATATACCAAAATATAGACATATCAGATTACAGCAGTTATTATATAGAGTGGTGACAAACAGGAGTATACAATAAGCCATAAATTATATCTGCAATATTTGGATACTGACACTGAAAATTGTCAAGTATTAAGTATAACTTGTGTAGTTAAATATATTAATTCTAAATAAATAGTTGTTAATGTTTAAGGTTATTAGAATAAAAATTGGAAGCAATATAAGTGACCAAAATTGTATTAGTATTGTGAGATTATATTAAAGATGATTAATACTTACAGATGAATATAATGAATGCATTGAAAAGACACTACTACTTTTCTTTGAGTAATAAAATTATTTGTGATCTTTATTTTACTTTTTATACTTTTTCTGTAATTTATACAATTATATTTATTTTAGAATCAGAAAAAGCAGTAAATATTTTTAAATCCACTTTTCCCAGTATTTTTACAGTCACTGTTCTTTGATGTCCTTGGGTTCTTTCTCAAGTACTTTCAACTATTTTAATAATCAAGTTTAATTTTCACTTAATCTGGTTTTCCTTACTTCTTTAACATGGCATTTCACTTATTTTCTGGGTATTGCCCTTTTATCAAGCTAATGGGTATTTTTTCAGAAATATCTTTTTTTGCCATTTTTACAGAAACATCTTAATACCACCCTTTTACCTTTAATAGATAACTCAGTGACCTTTGAAAAGTATTTTCTCCTCCTTCTTTGATCGACCTGAGCATGCATAGATTCTGGAGTCAAAAAAATTAGGTTTAAACCCTGGCATTCCCTTTACTCTTATTCAAACCTAGAACAAGTTGCTATGACCTTTCCAACCTTAATTTACCTATGGTCAAGTGGGGATTATAGTAGCATGTTTATGAGATTAATAATATAAATAACAGAAAGTGCCTAATTAATGTAGAGTGTGTTCCATGGTTGGCATGTTTGTTTAACTTCTCTCCCTCTGCTTCCTTTGGTTTTTTCCTTCTGAAGCAGAACCGGATGATAGCTACAGAATTTTAAAAAAATAAGTTGTCACAAATAGTTCAATAACTGAAATTGAATTTTCTAATAAGATGTTCTTGGATCCTAGTTTGAAAAGGACAAATTCCTAAATGCTAAAATTTTTAAGAGCTCTGAGAATTTTCTCTTTTGCTACTATTATTTAATTTCTTTAGTGAAATTTAAATAAAAACTTTCCATTTGAATATATTCTGCCTGAGGCCTTTATGTGAATTGGGGCTTTTTGCACATATTTATAAAAATAATTCATGACATTGTTTACTGTCAGCACTATTTGAATTTTACAAGCAATAATGTGTAAGTGCAACTTCTCAAAAAGTCCATATGGTGGCTGATTATATTTTTGTGGTGGCAATTGAGAAGCAGCTCACTATGAAATCAAACATCTCTGACCACATCTTGCTGCCACACCTCTGTAGCCCTCTTGACCCTGCCCATTTGGGGAACTAGTACTCTCCAGAATAACTAGAGATATACAGAGATACAAAGAGCTATAATCTCAGATTCTGGGTCTCAGAATTGTCTTTCCCTTCTTGATCATCTTCCACCACAGTTCCAAAATGACACCCCCATTTGTAAGATACATAAAGCTCTGGGACTCACAGCTTTGCAAGTGGCCCTGCAGCTCAGCTGTTCCCAGCTTTAAAGAGGTCTCTGCTCAGGAGTGGAAGGACTTCTTAGTAGCCTGACAGTATAGTCAGATAGTAGTTATAAGTGAAAGCTGATAAATGTATGTCAAATTACCTTATAGCATACTTTGATATTAGGTATTGTGATCCCTCCAAATTTGTTCTTCTATCTCATGATTGCTGAGGCTATTCAGGGTCTTTTTTGGATGCATGTAAATTGTTGGAATATTTGTTCCAGATCTGTGAAATAGCCATTGATATTTTAATAGGAATTATGTTGAACCTATAGATTGCTTTTGGTAGTATGGGAATTTTAATGATACTAATACTTCTATTCCATAAACACGATATATGCTTCCACATATTTATTTCTTCATTTTTTTCTTTGCTATCCTCTAATTTTTTTTTGAGTAAAGGTATTTTATCTCTTTAGTTAAATTCATTCCTAGGTACCTTATTTTTATTGTTGTAATAGTAAATGGAATTTTTTTTTTAGTTTCTCTTTCTGATAGTTCATTATTGGTATATAAAAATGCC